GATACTAACTATACTAACTATACTAACTATACTAACGATTACTGTTATTACTATAATTCAGGTAATCAACATAATAACAACTATCTTAAGAATCCCGACGATCCTAATAATACTAACTATTCGGGATTTTCAGAATTCTTGGAATTTTCAGAATTCGTACTATGTCAGAAACTGCAGTAAGTTCGAGGCGGTAATTTACATTTTCACAATCTCCCCAGCTTAATTTTGAGTTCCACGAGAAAAACCAACACAAAAAGAAACTAAGAACGCCAAACAATAATAATACGGAGAAAAAAGAGAAGAAAAGAAAAAAAACAATACATAAAATCAAATAAGATAAAAAGGAGGAAATCTTATAAAATCTTTTTCTGTTATCTATATTCTAGGAAATTTTAACATTGGACTGGGATCAAAAAATTCTTTTGGGTAAGTTATTTTTCACACATTTTTTTTAGGTTCATTCTTTTCAATTCCGATGCCGTTTTAATTATCTTGTGGATACACTTTGACATTCCTCTGGCGCTTCTCTTGAGTCTTATCCAGCAGGCAATGCGGACATTTCCTTCCTTATTCCCGTCCCATAGTTCTTCAATAATCGGTTACGCTTTGATATCGATCCAGGGCTTCTCTATCGTCCCTCTGCCATTGATATGGACGTATCCTTACTTCTTGCCGTCCATTTTCGCTTTCTTGTCTTTTTAGGTAATGTGCCCATCCTCGCACACCACTGTCGTAACCATCCGCTTCGCCATTATGTCCATTTTCTTACATTTTACTTTGTCTTTGATCACGTGGGTATTCGATTTGACTTTTCTTGCATTAATCACAATTACAATCAATTTAATTTTTAATTAATTAATTTTTTTATTTTTTATTTTTTTTTTTAACTTTTCTTTCGTACTATACTTATTGTCCCAAATTTTTCATAAACTTGTATGCATGTTCATTACTAACGATTCGTTCTTCCACTCCAGGATCGATTCCAAATTCTCTTATTAATTCTCGCCTAACGATTTCTTGCCAAGATCCTTCGATAATCTATTGTCGCAAAACGCGTAGATCGTCGGGAACGTTAGCCACTAAATTAAAGTTATGAAACCGGTTTAAGTAAATAGCACTACGAAAGTCCAATCCTCTTGTGGCGAGGTGTTCTCCAATCATCGGGTGGGTGTAAACATGAAATTCTTCGCTATATTGTCTTGTTGTTCCCTTATATCGTAGCTTCTGGCACCGCTGTCTGCTCAATTTGGTGTATTCTATTGCCTTAAAGGATATCCTTTGAGTTTCTTCAGTAGATTTCATATACCATTCAAACGCTTCATTTTCATCTTTATTGATTCCTATGCTACGACAGGAGCAACATCTAGGATTGCTTTGTCCTTTCAAATAGCCATTTTTAGTTGGTCTCAAATGCCATTCGAATGCTTTATCTTCGTCCTTTTCAACGCCGATTCCACGTCGATAGCCATCATTTTTAGAGGGCTCGAGTAGGCACCTTTCGTCAACAAATTCATCGCTTTTTTCATCAATATTGCCGATTTTATCGGTTTACACCTTGGTCCCATTCTTGCAACCAAGGTCAATTGCTCCGTCATGTGGTCCATTTCTGTTGACTTTCGAAAGTGTGTGAATGCCATAGGTTTGTCTCCGATTTCATCTTTCTTGACACCAATTCCGTCTTGATAACAGTGTTCAAGATCGTGTACTTCCATACTATCTTCTTTAACTTTGTTTGGGTACTTTCCCAATGTTTTGGGCGTCTCTTTCTCAATACTAATCCCATTTTGACGGCAGGGTTCAAGGACATTTCTTTCATCAGAACAATCTATATCGGCAGATCCTTGGTAATCTAGTGAGATTGTTTCATCATTCGGATCATGTGGATCTTCATTCTCCTTATCGTTCATTTGGCATGTTTCATTTTTTCCATTTTGGTAACAGGTATCTACATTATATATTTCGTCAGCGTTTGCCATATAATCTGAGCTTTGCCGATGGGTAAGTGTATCATGTTTATCTTTCTCATAACAAGGTCCAAGATTATACGTTCCATTAATATCACCCGTACTTGCAGCCTTTTGATAATAAACGAATGCCTTGTGGTTATCCTTTTCAGAACTGGTTCGATTTTGGCAGTAGGTTTCAAGGTCAGCTTCGTTGTCAACACAATCCGCAACAGCAGGTTCTCGGGAACCTCCGAATGTTTTATGCTTATCACAACTAATTGGCTCATTGACATGCTTCATACCCGCTTTACCGTTATTATGACTCAAATCTGAATCATTAGACTTCTTTCCTTCTAGCTCCTCAACCACCGTGGCTACATAGACTTCCTGGACTCCCTGACTTGATCTGACATTAGTTTCAGGTGCGGCTTGAGAAACGATTTGATTTGACATTCAGAATTGGTTTACTTTCTCCATCCATATTTCGCATCTATCTTCAAGGGTCACATTATTTACTCCCTTTGGCGGCTCTCGGGTTAATCGTTCGGGTTTAGCTTCCAAAACTTGTAAGAAATATTCTTTTTCTTTGGCGACACCAAAGTAAGTAGCCTTTGCCTTTTCTTCCTTAACTTCTCTTAAGATATCCTTAAACATTCTAACTAATGTTTCTTTCAATTGGCCATTCTCCATTTTGTAAAATAGGTAATTTTTACGTTATATATTTCGTTAGATATTAGATTCTGGTAATTAGGGAAGTCCAATCTCACAGTCACCACCAAATGTAAAAGTGCGTTTTTATGCACCGGTTCTGGATAATACAACTATACACTACTAAAACTAACTAAAACTACCCTAACCAGAACACCACAACTAATAAAACCCAAACCTTAATAATGGTAAGGCAACGATCAAGGCGTGGAAAGACTTGGTCCGAGTAACTAGGGTGAATTGGGTTCTTAGCGATAGTGCCAGATTAGAGCTCTTGATTATGTCACGAATCTCTTAATACAACGTCACAGGATTTGGTCACGAATTCAAGTTAAGTACTCTAATTTCTTTAATTTGGAACTTCGAACTCAACCGAGTTTTATACTATTAGGGTGAATCGTAAGTTAAATACTCTGATTTCTTTAACTTAT